TTGTTGTTTGAATAACAAAGGATTTTAAATAACTTTAAGTGACTTTAAATAAATTCCATATTCAATAACATTGGATTTTAGAAAACTTTTTAAAATTCTTAATTGCATAACAGAAGATTTTAATAAAAACTCAAAGTCTCCTCAAATCATAGTTTATTTCTGTCTAGGAAGTAGGATTTACAGATCATATAAATAAATTATCATCATTTGAGATATAGGATATATGAAAATTTGTGGTTATAAAAAAAGATGGAAAATCTTTAGACTTATGTATAAAGTGATGTAACTGTAGGAATCCTAATTAAACATGTTCATTACCAATTAATTAATTAATTAGCATAATTAAAAATGTAGCTTTGTGTTTTTGCATATGCACAGAATCGTTCTATCACCTTCTTTACTCAAAGGTACAAGAACTCACAGATAAACATAGATTAATTGTCTTACAAATGAAACAGAGATGCAACATTTTGATAGAAAAGGTCTGAGAAGTGACAAAAGAGACAAAGAAAAGCTTAATAAAAACAAACGGAAACAATCTTGATACAAAATACAATAGCTTAAGAGATGAGATATGCAATTGTGAGTACAACCAACATAAAGAAAAAATTCACAACATGTCTCAATTATGAGTTTCCACAACACACTTTGACGGGAAACCTCTCTTTCAAAACTTGTTTGCCCTACGGAATCAAACTCATCCCTTTCACCTGTAATAAGACGAAGAGATGAAACCAAGTACACAAAAACAAAAATCGGGTTGCAGAGATGAGAAGAAGAGACTTGCTTAGAATTTTTGTAACTTTGTTCTGTTTTGGAAACGATACAGTACAAGCCTCCGTGAGCACTAAACAGAGCCTTAACGGACAAAAGTAGTTGCCAAAAGTGTTGCTTTTATGGCTAGATCAACATAAATTTGTAATTTATTTAAATTAATGAAAAATCTGTATTTTTTTAGCCAATTTGTGAAAGTTTGATATTTAAATGACTGTTTTCTCCTTCTATTATTACATTAGTGTCTTTTCATACCCGAACAAAAGATGTGTTAAAAAAATAAATAAACTAAAAATATTCTGAATTTAAGACCTCAACTTTTCATCCTAACATTAAAACCCATTTCAACTAATTAGTAGTAAATAAACCGTTAATTCTTGGTAGAGTTATAGCTCAAAACTATGCTGTTTTGTATAATCACTTGAGTTCATAGTTACATAGACCTGATAAATTTTGAAAAAAATAATACATCATATTTAATAGCACATAAAACTAAACACATTTTCACTAATAATTTGTATATGGTTACGATCTATTAAGCTTGCTGAGAATTTTTTTTTCAAAAAAGTAATGATTTGTTAAGTTAGTATAACACTATGTTAAATCGTGAGAAAAAACTATCAGAAATTTTTTTAATTCTTATTTTTCTTTATTATCATCTAAGTGTTATGATTCAATAAAAAACACTATGCCCATGGCACATATATCACTCATAATATTTTTTATTTTGCAATTGTCTTCTAACCATTTAATTGTTTTCCTTACAATTAAATGAGGATTGAGATACATGTTTTTGTCTAAGCAAATGTTGATATAGTGTATGTTCGTGTCTTTTTAAAGGAAGCTTTTTTCTCGAATAATGTGATACCGTTTATTGTTATTGAACGAGATAACGACCTATTTCCACACCACAACTATCGTATAGTAACAGATCCACACAAACTTTGAACCTCGTCGCAATTGTGCACAGCTTAACTATATCAATCTATTTCTCCCCAAAATGAAAGATCAAAACTCGCTTCCACACGTACGAAGATTAAGCTTGGTTTTAATAGTTTATAACGTTAACAGATATTAAATCCTATGATTTCAGTTAATACTAGTACAACCTGACCCAGACGAAGTAATTATAACTCGACCTGAACCTCTATTAATCTTTCCCAAATCAATTTTGCCTTTTGGAACCTTAATATCTAAAAAAAAATCAAAGAACAAAATAAAGAAAGAACCCCAGAAAGGATGAGTAACGAATTTGGGACTTCGAGTGGAACCACTGGTCGGATCATATTAGGTTTACTTAGATAGCCACTGGTTTAGAAAACCTACTTTAAACTGCTATTTTTTTTGTATTAGTTCATCCTTAAACTTTAGGGGAAATCGATTTTCAATCTTCTGTTTTGGGAAGAAACATATTGATATAGTTAAATTGTGTGCAATTGATAAGAAGTCCAAAATCCGTATGAATTTGTTACTATATGATAGTTATGATGTGGAAATAGATCGTTAACCCTTATTAAACATGTTGTTGATGTTCTATAACCTATTTTCATTCAGGACAATGCTCAACTTTTTTTCTTTTTTAACACACGGACAATGCTCAACTAAAATACGGAATTTTGGCATACAATATGTTCTTGGTTTTCAAGACCATGAAGAAGAATATGGTTTTGAGTAGTTGGAGTGCCATCTTCCAAATAATTTGGTGATGTTGTTCTGTATAGATTTCTAATTCCATCTATATGGTGCATCATTATGAGGAAAAACATCAAAATTAGAAAACATTCTCCAGTGATATGTTATTTTATTTTTTAAATATTCTCTCAAAATTGAGAAAATACTATTTACAACTTCATTTTTACTATAAAAAATTTTAGCTATAAATTGATCCTTAAATTTTTATATAGTTTTATTTTATATCTAAAAGATTAAATATTTGTGTTTTATATTTTGTTGAATCAATACAATTAGAGAATACAGTTAGAAGTTTTTTTGAATCATTTTCTATTCTTTTAGAAACTAAATTTATGTACAAAATAAAAAAAAAATAGTTAAAGTAAAAAAATTATAGCTGGGTAAACTTTATAAGTTTTTAAAATACAGCACATTATTAAAATAATAAGAAAGATTACTAATGTCTTAATATTATATTTTGAAGAGAAAAATGAAGACAATAGTTGGAGCAATACTCGAACTCATTTTAAATTTATATCATTTTGAGAAAAGATGTAAATCATTGGTTATGCTCTAAGGATATCCTAAGAATATAATCTTTGGCTGCTACCTGAAGAGCTGTGGCAACGATAAACTTCACCAAGATACGATTCTCATTGTGAATGGAAGGCATCAAATCAATCAAGCTATGTGATTGTGTGAGTACGCACCTTTGTAGAAAAGTTAAATAACGAGAGAAATGCAAAAAAAATTATTTTATTTACCAAAAAAATAGAGAAGTTGTTTTTTTTTAATACAAAGGGCTTCGGGATGATAGAATTAGAATGATACATACGAGATTAGGCCATGCGCAGCAATGGTCTCTCACCGCATTTCTCAACATTACATTAATGACAATAAATGAATAGTAAAGAGAGAGAATGAACAACACTTTTTTGTAAAGGTACTTCTGAAAATATGGAAGAGTTTCCCCTTCTATGGATCTTTGTTTCTATTGGTTATTTTTCATTTAATTTTAAAATTTAATTAAAATTTTATATTATATTAATTTTTATTGATTAGAAGTTTTGGGAAGAATTGTTAGAGCAAGTTCATCCATTAGAACATCTAATGGCCTCTTATAGTTAAATTTTAATAAGGTGATTTGATTAGTTAAGAACTTTTTGTTAGTGCAAATAAAATTTTCCTCTTCTAATAGGAGAACTTCATAGGGGTTCTCAACACAAACCAAACTGACTGAACACAAGCACCTGACTTCTTCTGATGTACCTCCATCTTCATATCCCCTACAGTCACTAAATCGAAAGACAACTCTGCAACAGAATCAGGCCTCCTACGAAACACAAGACTCCCACCAACAGGCTGACCATTCGTATCCACAACAACTCCAACATTATCTACCAACAACACCTTCCACTCTTTACAAAGCAATTTAAATAGCGGCAGACCAGAGACATCCAACAAGGTGAATATCACCCCACTTTGACCAGTAACACACGAGATCAAACTATACCCTTTATCAGTCCCGCAACAACATAATCATCAACCCAAACCAAACTCTTTATCCCACCACCAATTCCCACAATCTCTTTCAACACAAAAAGGAATCATCTTTCCCATCTTCAATCTCAATCAACAACATCCTCTCAACAATCTCTTTCAACACAACTTCTTGGTCGAGCTAGACTCATCTGAAGGCAACAACAACAAGTCAGTACTTGAGGAGGACCTCACTCTCCTAGCGACGACATTGATCCCTATCAACAACCCATCCAATCTCTTAGCGGGTTGAGATAAAAGAGAATCAACTACGAACAAGAAGCCATTACAGAGCGCGAGAACTTTGCCTCTTTCGTGGCCAAGGACGAAGATAGACTTGATGGGAGAAGCGGCGAGCGAAACGGTTCCAAGACGAGCGACGATGTTGGTTGAGGTGTCGAGAGAGAGGAGGAGAAGGGATCCGGAGAAGCTGCCGATGTATACTAGGGCTTGGGAATCGGAGTGGAGGGGGGGGGAGGTGTAGGGATCAGATCTTGTCGACGCCGCTGAGATCGTAAAGGGTAGTGAGCTCTACAGTTGATCAAGATTTGGCCATTAGTTAGACGAAGACAATGGCGGTGAATCGGATTTGAGGGGATTATATACCTAAGAAAAAAATTTCTTAATTGTATATAATCTGATTAAACATATTTTCACCAAAAGAAAAATATTAAAAAAAATCTTTCCAAAATTTTAGTTTTAAATGTGTATATATATATTATTAAATATAAATTTAACTAAAATTTGTTTATTTTATCTTATTTTTTACAGATAATTAAAGTAAAATTAATAATGTAACAAAATAATATATTTAAAAAAATTAACTAAAATTTTATTTTTAAATATAATTTTAATTTAAAAACTTTTATTTCTGCATAAACACCTAGTTTTTATATAAATACTTAGAGATACGTGTATTTTTACCTTTTTAGTCAATCACTTAGACTTCTGTATGAAATAAATTAGGGTTTTTACCGTGTTACGCCCAGCGACGACGAGAAAGACGTATAGACGGGATGGAAAACAGGATCTGTGATTTGCCTGATGATTTGCTTTTGCTGATCCTGGTCCTCGTCCCAACAAAAGTCGCAATCACCACCACAGTCTTGTCTAAACGATGGCGTTTTGTCTGGACGATGCTGCGTCAACTAGAGTTCAATGATGATGGCAGCGAGAGCCTTGGGTGGTTTGTTGACCAGTCACTGCAACTCCATAAGGCAACAAAACTAAGGAGCCTGGTTGTTAAGCTGGGTCCAAGTTGTACTGTTGAGGTAGATGTCCGAAAGTGGGTTGAGTACGCAATTAATCGCGGTGTGCGCGTGTTAGATTTCAAACTCCTCTGGACCGCAGAGCCAACAAGCTTTCCTAAGGGTCTTTACACATGCGACACACTCGTTCATTTATCTCTTTCCAATGAGATTTTTGTGGATGTTTCCTCTCAGGCTCGCCTACCATCCCTCTCACATCTGAGTCTTCTACACGTGGTGTACAAAGACGAAGACTCTCTTGTTAGGCTTTTATCAAGCTCCCCTATTCTCAATCTTCTAATGGTTGAACGACATGAGGAAGACAACTTGACAAATTTTACTGTGAAAGTGCCTTCCCTACAAATATTGTATTATGAGACTACTTGGCGCAAGGATGATGATGAAGATGATCGACTCACTGGGTCATTGGTAATCGATACCCCTGCATTAACAGAATTCTACATATTTGACGTCTGGGATTACTATTGCTTGATAGAGAATATGTCTTGCCTTGTTGAGGCATGCATAAGCTTTGTTCGTAATCCCGATGATAAGTTTTTGAGACATCTTGTTTCTGCCACACATCTTCTATTGTGTTTGACCGAACCAATGGTAGCGATTTAATGTCTCCTGTAACTCTTTTTTTTTTTCCTTTCGTTGTTTCTTTGTCATCTAATGTGGGTTTTGTGTTTAATCACAGGTTGAGTGTTGTACCGCCATTAAGTTCTCTTGGCTCATAGCGTTTTATCTTCGTCCAGTAAAATCAGTTGATTGGTTGGACGCTCTTATGTTTTTGCTTCAGAATAGTCCTAAACTAAAAACTCTTATGATCAAAACGGTAATTCAGCACCCTCCCCCCCCCCCCCTTAAAATTAACATGCTCATGTAGCCTTAATTAATTTAAGTGAATGTTTTTTTATTTACAGGAAACTGAGAGTATCCCACCATCCTGGAACCAGCCGAATTCTATTCCGGGATGCATGTCGTCTAATCTAGAGATCTTTGGGTGGGTGGACTATGGAGGAAGAGAGGGCGAGAAACAACTAGTTACATACATTCTAGCTAACGCAGAGTCTTTAAAGAAAGTGGAGATATCCTTCTTAGATACCTCTAATCTTGAAGAGAAACAAAAGGAGTTAGAATCTTTGCCTAGAAGTTCATCATCATGTCAGCTACTATTCCCAACTCAAGTGGAATGGAGGTTTTAGATGTTGACGGAACATCTTTGTCTCCCATACGTTGTTAATTAGCAAATCTATATTTTAACTAGCTAACCCAACCTAATATTATGTTGTTTCTATATTTTAATTAATTAGTTGAGTTCACCAATCTTACTCTATTAAAATATAGTCATTCTTTTAATCTACTAACTAGGTGATTTTCCCGTGCTCATGCACGGGTATAAATATTTTTAAAGTAAATATATGATAATATTGATTACTATTTAGTTTTAATTTTAAATTAATTTATAATTTGTATGCATCATTTATATTAATAATATAATTTTAATTTATTTATATAGTAATTTTATATATGTTATATCTAGTCGATTTTGTTGTTTTTACGGTTAATTTAGTTATCATTTGGATAAATTGATTTTTTTTAATCCAACTGTAATATCTAATTTTTAATTAATTACTTATTTGCATATTGTGGATGTTGTCTTAGATATGTACATATATTTTTTTGGAAAATTATGTATATCTTAAGATATATTGTACTTAGAATGAATTAAAATTTAACTAAAGTGTCTGATTCCAAAATACGTAAATTAATATAACGATAATATTCTAAAGTCACATGTATATATATAAATTTTATAAAAGAAATAAAATTGTAAGTGTTGATTAATATTTATTTTCATTTGTTAATATGTTTTGAGTTATCCGATGATCAATAGAAGGTTACATGCATAAGTAGTTGATACATTTTTGGAAGCTCATGAACACATATCAATATTTACAATAATTAAAATATTTATAAATTCTAAATAACTTTATGCTTTAGATTTAATGAATATAAACTAAAATTTATTTTAAATAATATTAAAATTGGGAATTCAGATCTGCTTTGGTATTATCATATTATGGTTATATTTAGTTTCACAAACATAAAAACATAAAATTTAATATTAAGAGTTTTTTTTTAATAGTGATAAAATATCATATATCTAACTCATTAAACTAATTGTTAATTATTTGATAAAGCGATATTTATTGTTAAATTTATTTTAAGTTTTTAATATCTCTTAAAAATAAGCACTGCACAAAATTGTTATTATATTTGAAAATAATATTATATAGGTAAAATATAATTTATAGATAATTTTCTATAATTGAAAGATATTATAGTCAACTAAATAAATAAAAAATCAATAGTACTAATTATAAACTATTTTTATTACTCTAAAAGTATATTTTATGTTATTTAAAAATATTTTAAATGTATTATTATTATTTTGTGAACTTTCTTTTTTTATGAAATCATATTATATATACATATATTTTTCGTTTTTAGTTTTTTTGTGACTTTATGAAAAATTTCTTTTTTATTACATATATTTTTGGAAATGTTTGAAAAGGAAACTAAATAAAAGAATGAATAATACTATTTTTAACTATTTTTAATTCATTAAGGGTATCAGTGTAATCAACCATCGTGAGAATGAACGTGAGAGCGCCACATAGGAAACTGACTTCTCAAATAATATTATAGAGATACAAGTTGTCATTTAAATTTAGACCCTTCCTAGAATGTTACAAATAATATAAGTCATATAATTGATTGAACCGTATTACTTAAATTAAACCAACACAATTAATGTAAAGAGACGACCTTAATGTAAACTACCTTCAAAATACGGCAGGTATTTATGTGTATACCGAAAACACATATTTTCTCCTACAAATATGGAATGTTCTAAAAGAATATATATCATCAAAATATGGAATATGGAAATCTATTAATTATACTTAAATTAAACCAGTGGTTATTTATGGAATATAGTCTTGGGCTTACTTTTATTTTTTGAACAAATTATATAGTTTGGTTTTTGGGCTTAGTATTAAAAAAAAAACTCCAAAAACATTGAATAAACTTTTGACCTTAAAAGATCAAAAATCATTTATTATTTTCAGATCCAAAAGGTATTTAATATTTTTAACAAAACAAAATTATCTATTATTAATCATTTATGTAAATCATGTACTTTAAAACATGTTAATATATTTTTTTAATTTAAAAAAAAAAATCACTTTGTTTTGATAAATTTCAATGATAACTTTTAAATAATTTATTGTTTTATTTTTCTTAAATAATTTACTGATTAAAAAAATGTAAAGCAAAACCAAAAACCAAATCTAAAAACTAAAATCCAAAACCAAAAGCTGAAAACACATGTTATATTTTTTTGCTTTGTTTATTTACAAAATAAACTATTTCAAATTTTTTTAAAAAAATTTGTTATCATATTTTCAGTTTTAAATTAGATATTCGATTATTTGAGATTTGTTTGTTGGTAATATTAGTTCAAACTAACTCAGCGGGTTTAAAAATTAAAAACCCAAACCAAAACTGAAAATGAAAAATAGAAACTTAAAAACTAAAAACCAAAAACAAAAATCTAAAAATAAAAACTGAAACTAAAAACTAATGAAAAATAATCATCACCACAAATTTTGGTGAACTGATTTTATATCAAAATATTCTTTAAATTAATACAAAACCCAATTATATAAATTGTTAATCATAAAAAATTTTCGCGCTTTCAAGCGCGGGTCAAAATCTAGTATAGTTTTAAAGATAAAAGAAGTATACCGCAAAACATAATGTGATTTTCTGATAATATAATAAGACACGTTCAGAGTCATATGGGTTAAAATCATATTCGTAGCTTATGATAGTAACGCGATCGGACAGTGATCGACAACGGCTAGGAACAAGCATGCAGTAGTCAGTAGATAATTAACTTTATAACCAAAAACTTATATCATATATTTAAGTTAACCAAAAAAATCCAGTTGTTTTTCTAAAAAAAAAAGTTAGCTCACATTCAAATATTACAGCAAACTAATAACAGTATAATTTTTAATCAATACTCTTCTTCATTTTTCCATTGATTAGCTTAGGTGCTAATTTAGCCATTGACTAGCTTAGGTGCTAATTTAGCCATTGATTACACAAAGGATATCAACTCAGGCGGACAGTAATTATGAAATTGATTGTCGACGGTGCAACTGGGACGGATGTTAAGCCCTTAAAGTAGATATTCTAGTATTTTCATATTAAGAAACATATTAAAGCACTATTAGAAATATATATACATATATATATATATATATATTGAATTATCAGTCCAATAACTTTTAACCAATAGAAATCAATAGATTTTTTAACTGAAAATTAATAAGAAAAATATTCATATAGGTTAAATAGACACGGTTGCTCATGACCTTGAGAAACAGACATTGACTCGAAAGTGCCCTGATTTTTCAAGTTTTAAATGTTTCTGAAATTTACAATTTTATATAGAAGCATAAATCATTTTTCTTTGTAAAACAATTCAAAACATCTATCTTAGCAGAGTTAGTTCTTAAGGTGGGTTGTACGTGTAATTTTAGAAAAAAATATAAATAATATTTATTAAAGTTACAGAAAAAATATTTAGTATTTTAGACATCAGTCAGTTTAAATTTTAAACATCGCTTTTATATGGTAGAAGCACAACCCGACATATTGCAGCATGTAAAATAATTAAGGCTCTGTGGAGCTAGTACGGTTATTTTCATTTTCTGCATGTTATATTTTGAATTTTTAAAAATGATTATAAAAGAATTCAACATATATTGTATAGCCAAATTTTGTAAATAATAGACATTTAACTTTTTTTTATAGAAAACAAAGTAAACAAAACTATATTTTATTCACCATTTTATGGTTGTTTTCTGTGGTAAGAATAAAAACTGCAAATAGAAATATATTATATATTAAATAAATCAATATTTAAAAAATATAGTATTATATTATTTAGTTTAGTCACATATAAATATTTATAGCAAAAAATATTTTAAAAGTTAATATAGTTAATAATAATTTATATAAAATCAATTTTTAATTTTAAAAAAGTTTGTAAAAAAATAAAAATTTAAAAGTCCTAAAAACAAAAAGAAAAGAAGACAGTAAAACAAATAGTAATAATCTAATCCCAGCCCAGCCCAGGAAGTGTGGGTTATTGATGGCTCGAATCCTTGGTAATCTGAACCGAAACAAAACCGGATCGAACCGTAATATTTCTTTATCTGTTTGATGAAGAAGATGATTGGAGGAAACCGAGAGGTGAGAGCTTTTCTATGGAGGAGAAACCAAGAATATCAACCGAGGAGATCTGAGCCCGATTTTAGTCGGGAACTCTATCTGTCACTGTAAGCAGATTTCGTTGTGGGTCGGAGTTTATTTCGAGATTGTTGGAGCAATTGATGTCTGATTCATTGGTTGGTCCTGTCCTTGAGCACGACTCAGTATCCCTATTGATTGAAGTTAAGCTCTTGCCACGTTCCACAGCATTCTCTCTTTTGCCAAAATGGAAGTGGATAATAATGCTCAGAGGATGCTATAGAGGAATCTGGCAGGCACTGTTTTTAGGACACCCTTGCTTCAGCTTCGGTGGTTGTGTGTATGTGATATTTTTCGCATTCATGTCTGAATACAGCTTGGTCTATGGAGCTTCAAAGATTGCTGCAACAGCGAGCGCTGGGAAGGTAGAGCTAGTTAGGTGCTGATTTAGCCATTGATTACACTAAGGAGAACATAGAAGACTTGCCTGCTATTAGTTTCCCTGATAAGTTTGATGCTGTCTTTGACTCGCACACCGTAGTTCCTCCATCACATTCTTAGCAAAATGGATGTATGCTGAAGCTGATGGAAGTAGTCTTAGATCCTCAGGGTGAGAGGAACAATCAAGAAGCAATATCCAGGGATGATATCATTGTTGTCTTGGGTCTATTTCCTGAGCAGAACGTCTCCTATACTTGCCTAGTAAGCGTGGTTGATAATGCACGGTGCTTGCAAATTGTTTGGGTTGTGTTGGCTGTTGAAGCCAAGAAAACTAGCTGATGCAAAGGAAAAAAGGAGCTTTGTACGTTTAGATTCTTAAAGTGAGTTCTTCATGGTTCTGACATGGCTTGTGAGTGAGGTACGGATGATTTGAAGTTAATATCCATTCGGTTTGCCCACATCAGCGCATGCTGTTGATATAGAGGCACTGAAGGCACCTCCCCTTTCACCGTTTAAGCCACTAGATATTGTTATAAACGTTTTCTCCACAGAAAACAAGTTTTAAAAGAGGATGGGTGTGAGAAGAACATGGATGCAATATGATGATGTAAGAACTTCACTATGCCTCTTTTTTTTTTGGTTGGCTTTGTAAGCTTTCTTCCACTCTCTGAAGTCATCCCGTTTATATTTGATGTTTGTTTCATACTTCTTAATGATTATTTTTCTCTCTATGGATGAGATAATGCAGCTCAAAAGTGATATTGTTAAACCTGGAACGATCTTACGGTGATTTTCACTTAATGCCCTTTGTTGATTACTACAGTCTGAAAACACTAGCTATATGCATCTTTGGGTAAGAGTTTTCTTTGTCATGTCTCTTCCAATACACAAATGTCTAGTCTTTTCCATTTTGCCTCACTAATGACATTTCTTGAACAGACAGAGGTTGACTCAGCCAAGTTTATCATGAAAACGGAGGATGATGCCTTTGTTCGTGTTGATGCAGTACTACTTTCTTTTATCAACTGATCAATTCCGACTCAATACCCTGATGGCAAATGGTTCATCAGTTATTGCTCACAATGGGGCGCATGGTCAATGATGCTACATTGTGTCCCGGGACATAGAAGAAATTCTGTGAGCAAGCTTTTCAAAGAAGGAAACCTAAAGGTGATACTACTCTATGTGAAATCCATTTAATCGCATGTTTAAGCTTTCACCCTCTTTATAAGTCTTTATTATTATATTCATAAAGTGTACATTGCGTTTCTTAGTTTCCTAATCGGTTACTCTTCTCCGTGTGTGATATATATATATATATATATATATATATATATATATATATATTGCAGGACAAAGTCATATTTTACCATTGCTACAAATGCTGGTCAACATTCCTAGTAAGTTTTTCCTTTCACGAAAATGTTTTGATTTTTTTAATGATCAAAATAGTCATTGGTTATAGCAACATTCCTAGTAAGTTATTTCATATAGTTCTTATGTGATTTTTTTTTTTAATTTCTCACCATGAAAAACATTCATGGAGATGTGAAAACCATCTATCTATCTTATTAAAGTTGAAGTACTAAAATGAACTAACCCTTAAAATAACATTTTAATTATAACTCATACCACTAAAAACTAACCAATCCTTATTTTTAGTATTAATTACCAATTAATTTTATTTATGAACAACATTAAATGATTGTTTCAAATGACAATATATTTTAACAATTTCTTCCTTAAAATAAATAAATAATATTAATTTTATCTTTAATACAAATAATATGATATAAAACTAATATAAATTTTTTTTTACCATTTCGTAAAATTAAAACTATCAATTTTTTATATCTTTGTAGTCCGTTTATATTATATATAAAAACTATTTTCAAAATTTGAAATATTAATGTACATAAATAAGAGAAAAATAACATAAAAATAAATAACAAGTCAAATAATTACCTACTTGTTTTTACTATACTAATAATTTTATATGCATTACAAAACGTTCGACACAGTATATAATTATTATTTAATAAAAAATAAATTAACATTCAATACAAATAATAATTCAATGTTGTACAATAAATCTATGTTTTAAAAAGTTAAAAAAAACCCACAAAATGGAATGTTTTTTAAAGAATAATCAGATTAAAGATTGTTGAGTAAAAGAAAACTATAATAGTAAATCAGTAAGTTTTATAGTTTTTTGCTGAATTATTAACTAATAGAAAAATCAAAAGAATTGTCCGATGAATTATTTGCTGAGAAACAAATAAGTTAAATAATATAATCTCTATTCTCGAAGACAAATAAGTTAAAGAAAAACTATCAAAGATATTTTGTATCGCACAAGATATTTCGGCCTATTTAAAGGCCCATTAATAAGAAAGCCTATTAGTTAAATGATATACGTATCTTTTTTTCGAAAATAACCGCTAACCGCCTGCTTGTTTCTCCTTCTCGTTTCTCGTAAGCTCTAGCTCCAATGGCGAATGAGAATGTTGATGAGGTAAAATCGATTTTAGAATTTGATTTCTCTCGAAGATCGAGCTTGATGTTTAGTTATTTGATTTCTCTCGAAGATCGAGCTTGATTATGCATTCCCGTTTCGGAGTTTGAGATAATTCCCGTTTCGGATTTCGAGATTCCCGTTTCTGATTTCGAGATGGCTTTTAGATTAGCTATGTAGTTTCGGATTTCGAGATGGCTTTGCTTTTTGAGATGTATTTAGCTATGTAGTTTCGGATTTCGAGATGGATTTTAGATTAGGTTTCTGTTTCGCACTATTATCGATGTTGAACGTAGCTCTGGAATATAGGTTATCGGAATATAGGTTAGTATTGATTATCTCTGATCTGAGATAAAGTTAATCTATCTGATTGCGAACAGGTTATTGACGACGACGTTTTGAACTACCTGGCTACCTTGTTTGCTGAACCTGAGGTGAAAAACTTGGAGTTTACTTTTTGCTTTTTTTTTGACAGTGTAATCTATTTGTTACTCATTTCTTATTAATGTTCTTTGCTGTAGCCTCCAAACTACTTAGCTCTAGTACTTGAACGTGAGAGAGCAAAGAAGAAGGGAAAGGGGAAAAAGAAGAACTCACCTCTCACTGCAGAGCACGCATCAAGGAACCAGAAGATAAATGAGGTTAATAAAAAAGGTATAAAGTTGACAATTCTTCAATCTGACTACCTTACTCATTAAAAAATTGAGTCTGTCACTATGACACTATAAAAATACTCAGTTGCTTTTGCATTTAATCTCAGTTGTATAAAACTCCTATCATTTGACTTTGGTTTTATTAATCGCATTTTGTCTGATAAAAGGAGAAATGTCATATAAGTTCTATCTGTGCCACTCAAAATATAACTTATACCTTTTACGTATAAGTTGTTTCTATCTTCAGATAGAACTTATAGACAAAGTTAAAGAAACATTTTACCAAAATTGTTTTTAAAGAAACAACACAGTTAAAGAAACATTCATGATCTCAACATCTTTCTTTTCATGGAAGATTTAATACATACATCTTTCTTTCTATTTTAAAAACGTTATATGCATGCAACCTCTATAAGCAAGATATATTATAAAGTGTTGACCCTTTATGGGTTTTTGTATGTGGTGAGGTCACCATGTGGGATGTATTTAACTGGAATTTTTTTTCCCTGTAATGCAACTCAAAAGTATTAGAAAAGTTTTACAACGTTTTTTTTTCTTTGAAAATTCATTTTGATTCATTCAACTGTATAAAACCAATTACATCCCCTTCAAACCACAAGCTATACATGTTATCTCCCTAGTCATCTGCTACAAATTACAGAGACAACCAAAATACAACGAGACAACACAAGCAACACCGATCCAAAAAAATATGTTTATATATACATATTTTTACAACGTTACTCCAAATCCAAATCAACGAGACAACACAAGTTTTACAACGTTACTTCTAATATTAGTTTTATATACAAGATAAATATGTTTATATGTACATATGATGAACATGTACTTGCTAAGAATCCTAACCATATGGCTTTTGGACTAGTCATGAATCACAATATGTGTGTTTGTTGTAGTAGGATCTCACTCAAAAGTGTACCAGTAATTGTATATCACAAATATTTTTTTCATTTAATTAAATTAGTTAAAATTATTTTGGTGTTTTAGTAATAAAACCTTATTAATTTTAAAAGTAGATATGAAAAAATATTGGTGTAATATACCGCTACAATAAAAATTTATTTAAACTATATAAATATTAAGACAATTTTGTAAGAGCAAGATTGGATTCACAGTTTTGAAGTATTAATGTATGGGTCTGATGTAAGAATATTTTATATTCTATGTGACCTATGTATCTATTGGTTTAATATAAAATTCAAGTTCATATTAATGGTTATAGATTCTAACATAAAAGATAATACCGTGATGGATCGGTTTTGATTAATGATTTAGAATATGGGTGTATTGATAACCCTCCTACTTTACCTTATATTTATAAATGTCTTTAATCTCTTGATCATATATATATATATATATATATATATATATATATATATATATATATGTTAAAGGAAATGATAATGGAATACATTATCATTATTAATGTATATGTGAGTGTATACGTGTAGTACGAAGAGTTGTGATTTGGTCTTAAAGAGTTGTGTTGGTTAAAACACACATCTCTTTGATTAATATAAAAGTGTCTCTTGTACAACATCTTTAAAACGTAAGTAAAAACGTGAGTCACACACAATAAGAATACTGATCATTAAGAAGAGATTAAGGAAGACTTTGTGATTTCTTTTCCATCAAGGAAATCATCAAAGAGAAGGTTAAAGGGGAAAATATCAATTGGTGGGATTGCATCCAAGCATGGATCAAGGTTAGTGTTTCTACTTTTCTCTAGAAACATGTTAGGATTGAATTAAGACAAGTCTAAATTAGATCTTGGTGTTGATTCATAATTGGAATCATAAAATAAACTAACATGTGGTATCAGAGCCATATATAGATTTGTTTAATTCATCCATTAATTGCTTGAAAATGTTTAAAAAAAAAAAATATTGTAGAATTAATACTCATGCGTTCGGTGAACATATACGGTGTTATCCGTTTTAATGTGTGTTCATCGTCATGTTTACGGCACCGTACTTATATTTGGAATGTGCGGTTACGTAAAGCGTGAGTAACTTTATTAATTTGATTGAATGTTTGTAATTAATTCAATAAGTGTATCAAGCCTGTGTTTGTCTTTTTCTTTCTGGTTATTTTCTTTAACCATGAAGAAAATATAAACACCTAACTGTCTTTGTGTTCGTATACGTGAGAAACCAAATGACCGTGTGCATGTTTAAAACTCATAAATAAAACTTCATTAAGGTTAGTGGCATTGCGAATGGATTTTTTTGTTGTGGTTAACAAAGAAAAAATCTATTAAGATGTTGTAAAGTCAGAAGAAGAATATGGAATTGCACCTTTTGGTTAACGTTTCCCAGAATTTATTTAGGTGCATGCATGAAAGGTTGCATGGTAGATTCTGGAATTTACGTAACGGTTATACAAGCGTGAAAAGTCACTAGTCACTAATTTATCTCACATGCGAATACACGCTTAAATGTGCATGCTCGAATGTATGCATTAAACGTTTGTAATTTGAGTTTAGTTAATTGTCTCATATGATGAGACATATTTACATATAATATTTATTAATATTTTTTTAAAAAATATTATATGGTAGTTTAAAATGCTTCCGTTGCATTATATTGATTAAATAATTATGTTATGAAATATTAACATAATTTAAGTAGTTTTTCTCTTTTTAATGTTTATATTGTATATGACATGTTAGTCACCAAAGTGATCTTGTTATATTATATATATAGATATTAAAACTAAATATTTAATTGATCAAAATATCAATGATGCTAAATGACATAAAAGTTTGATAGATCAATTAATTTATTTTTTATATTCTAGGAGATTACCCAAAGGTGAATCACTGAATATAATTAATAAAATAAAAGAGTTAGTCATCTTTTACTCTAGTTGATAATATGTATATCCAAAGATAACATATTTATTTGACTAATGTTTGATTTGATTAATATTAAGTACATATAATTAGCATTAATGAAAGTATTTATATTTAAATATTGCCCAAAGGTTATTTTAAATATAAGTGTTAAAGTTTCTATTAGTCTGAATATATATTAAAGTTTCAAAGCATTAATGGGTAAACATGTATGAATGCTTGCAGCTTCATGAAATGTGTTTGCATCTGCTAACTCTGTGGTAAAGTTTAATGGCCTCAACTATGGTGAGTGGTTCGAGCAAATCCGGTTTACACTGGGTGTAATGGCTTTGGACTCTGCCATACTAACTGATGAGGAACCCTCAGCTATTACAGTTGATAGTTCTGAATCTGAAAAGTCTCGTTATGAGAGATGGGAGCGATCTAACAGGCTGAGCTTGAACCTTATGAGGTTGACGATGGCGGAAAGTATTAAGCCATCAATGCCTAAGACAGAGAAAGCAAGGGAATTCATAGAGAAAATTAAGGAGTGTTCACAATCGGAATTGGCTGACAAGTCGATTGTAGGAAGTCTCATGAATGAGCTAACTACAAAGAAATTTGATTGGTCTCAGCCAATCCATGATCATGTGACACACATGTCTAATCTGGCAGCAAAGTTAACGACCTTGGGGATGGAAGTTCATGAGCAGTTTTTGGTCCAATTCATCATGAACTCTCTACCTCTTGAATTTAGCCAGTTCCAGGTGAATTACAACACCATTAAGGATAAATGGAACTTTAAGGAATTAAAGGCTATGCTAATTCAAGAGGAGGGGAGATTAAGGAAGATGAAAGATCAAGTTGCTAACCTCGTAGGTCTTGGAAGTGCCA